TATATATATATATATACATATACGACAGTTCTGAGTACCACACTGCCAGTCAAATTTAATCCCATTTCAGGACATGGGATTAAAAAAGCACTATGAAGCAGTAATTACTATATTTTTCTAATATTGTAAAATTAGAAAAAATGTACAATAAAATAAAATGTAATAAGTGCAACTGCATCTTTTCTTTATTCCTCAGACCTTGGAGACACTGGACACAGGAAAGCCATTTCTCCAAGCTTTCTTCACTGATCTGGAAGGTAGCATCAAAACGTTGCACTACTACGGAGGCTGGGCTGATAAGATTCATGGCAAAAGTGTGCCTGTGGGTGAGTGTGTGTGGAATCTGTCCTCTAGCTGTTAGCTTGTAGTTCCAAAGATTTAAAGACAAAGACAATATCAATTTGTCCAGCAAATGTACAAACAAATCCCCACACAGGACAGCAGTGGATAAGTGGGGAGGATATTCTTCCTGTAATTGGTAAATCGGTGGGTTTGATTGCAGTTTCCCTCCCTGCCTTGTCAGTGCCCTCTTGGCCAAGGCCTCTAGCCCCTTTTTCCCTACCAGTCTGTGTATGGATGTATTTGGGTGCTTAGAGAGGTCAAAATGAACAGAAACCCACAATATAATGTAAGTTTCAGTCAATAAATTATTCTTTATAGTCTAAGTAAGCCTTCCATCACTATAGATGATGGGACATGCAGTCCAACACAGCTGAGGAAAACAAATGGGATGAATGGCTTTATGAGAACTAACACAATAGCCAGAAATCTAAATGATCGCTTTACATAACCCAATTCAAGAATGAGTCAAATTAGAAAGCTGTATGTGGCTGTGAAACTCAATACCGTGGTAACAGAAAAACTGTAAATGTAGTATAAGTAGAGATTTGTGAACTACAAATATTTAAAACATTTGTAACACTGACTTGGTTTAGGAGACTGTATGGACGACAAAATCTGAGTTCTATATGTACAGAACAATAGGTCACAGCATGCTGATTTTCCTCACAACCACTACGTGAAATATGATTTTGGTCAAACACAAGACCGGAGGTATTCATGAAATGACAATAACTTTTTTCTTTTTATTTTTTTTTACAGATGAAACTTTTCTGTGCTTAACCAGACTTGAACCTATTGGTATTTGTGGAGCCATTATTCCAGTAGGTATTTGAAGAAAAAGGTCAAAACATAGTCATTGGCGGTCAGAAACAACGAGTCATGGTGTGTTTTAAAGTGAAGCCGATTGCGGCAACTGAGAGACGTAAAGTTCAGTTGTAGAATTAATGAAGAAAAAAATAAAAAAGAGTACACCAAAGAAATCAAAAACAATAGACTTCACAGGGGACTAGGAAATGAATCCAGCATAAAAGAATAACTAAACTAAAGAAACGTAAATAAAATACAGAGGCAACAAATAACTAAAAACAAGACATAAACTAGACGTACTAAGGAAAAACTGAAGTGGAAATAGAAACAAGGCAGAACTAATAGAAAAAAAGAAAAAACACAAAAAGCGACAAATCCCAAAACCAAACAACCCCAGATTCTAAAAGGACAATTCATAGAGCATTTTATGTTATGAGACCTCCAAATTTAGGAACATGTTTGGGATGATATTATCAATGCAGAAGAAACAGTTTTGTCTTGAGTTATTCATAGTCTGGCAGATTTAATTTTAAAATTAATTCCATTCAACCAAGAAGTTTGTTTGAATGAGAAATTAGACACAGTACATTTCTGAATATAAGATTATATAAAAATAAAATATTCTGGTTTTATTCACTTTTTATTTTTGTTTTTACAAAACATTTACATATTGAAAATCATTTGTGCCATTTTCAATAATTCATTGAAAGATCTTAGCTGACAATACTACAGATTTGCATGTCGCCAATGGTAACCTGATGTTTTTAACTTTGGTGATGAATTCCAAGTCTTTGTGGTTGAAGGGCCTCCATACCGTCAGAGAATGAAATGCAGTTACTAGGATAGTCCAGTAGATCACTTTACAATCATCCAGTTAGAAAAGTCTGGATGGAATGAAGATCAGAATGGGTAGGACAGAACATTGAAGGTGGTGAAAGAATGAATTAAAATCACCACAGAGCAATAAACATGACAAATGGATTCATTTAGAAAATGGTTTAAAAAAGAAAGTCATTACCAACCAAAGCAACAAATGTATTTCAGAGTTCAACACACGTTCCATTTTCTTATGCGTGGCTCAATTTATGGATTAATTTAACTAATATTCATGATTTTGCGTCTGTGAATCACTTCAGTCATCTGCATCTGATAAGAATTTCATGTCCATAAGTGCATTAAACACAGAGAGGAACATTGACATGTCTGCTATATATTTTCACTGCTGTAAATTCTCTCACTGGCTTTTTTTTGTTTTGTTTGTTTTTTGGTCTCCACCAGTGGAACTTCCCTCTGCTGATGCTCATGTGGAAGTTAGCACCGGCCCTGAGTTGTGGAAACACTGTGGTCATCAAACCAGCAGAGCAGACCCCACTTACTGCGCTGCACATTGGATCACTGATCAAAGAGGTCTGATTCCAAAACTGAGAGAATATTATTGTTTGTTTGTTTCAACAAAAATGTTTAAGGGAATCTGGTGCCCAGATTCTCATGGAAAATGCCTGCAGCTTTATTAGGTTTCTTTCATAGCCACCGTGAGGTGAGCTCACCCTGCTTCTGGAGAAGTCCTGTGGAACTCCTAAGTATTTTTGACCTGAAACTATTGATGTGCTTGAAACATTAAGACAAGATCATATTAAATGAATGACTTCTTAAACAGATTTTTTAAAAATATTTTATTCTTAACAAATAGTTCTGGTCAGACATTTACATACAGACATGGACAGAAACAAACCTGGCCCAAGGTTGTCTGAGGCCTTAAGCAGAATATGGGTAACACTTTATTTGAAGGGGTGTGCATAAGACTGACATGACACTGTCATAAACATGACATAACATCTGTCATGAACATAAAGAAGTCTTTATGAATGTTTATGACTGTTGTAATGAAGTGTCATTTGGTAAATAATGACACTTGTAATGCAAAGTTGCTCTAAAAGTTGCATTAAAAGTTCATTAACAGTGCCAACTTTGCTTTGATTTTGTAAATTATGATAATTTAATGCAAAGTTGGCATTAATTAGAAGTCGAGTCTCTTTCACTGGAAATATTGTGAAAATGCATTAAACTGAAAATAAAGATAGAACCCTAATTAACTTGATCAGGCAGTTTATCAGCAAAAAAAGAAAAGTTGATTTGGGGGTGAGTTTCATTTCAAACTTCTCAGTCAGGCTCTTCTGGGATTTGAACCCAAGGCCTCTCACACCCTAAGAGAGAATCATACCCAGTGGTTCTTAACCTTTTTTGAGGTACCGAACCCACCAGTTTCATATACGCATTCACTGAACCCTTCTGTAGTGATAAATAAAATATGATTTTTTTCCCCCAAATTCAAGACATTAGTTGGGTCACCCCAAGATCACTAAGTCTTCTTAAAAAGTGGAGTCTCTGAGAACAGTTCTTCAAAATATAATCAGTGTTTTTTTTAGCAAAGTTGAACTGACTGTCCAGGAACGACCCAAGGTATTTAAAATTTGCCACAGTTTCAACAGGTTGGCCATTGAGAGAAACTGGAACCACTTTAACGTCTTGTTTAGATCATTTAATTTGCTCTACATTCTTAAGATAATGAAAAAATTAACAATAAATAATAAAGACTGCGGTATTATGATTTAGTAATGTTATTATATTAGTTGTGTTACCACCCCCACGGCACTAGAGGCAGTATCAACCCCGAAAAGATGCGACTAAAGAGCAGATTTAGAAGTACACCGAAAGCTACAGAATGTAGTAAAAACGGTGAGTTTTGCTGAAGTAATTAAAGACACAAGTTCAAATCCATGCTGAGAGTGGAGCTCCTTCACTCGGTGCTCCTCCGCAGCACTGATTGGCTAAGCAATGTAACGTAATCCTCTGCAGCAAGTGATGGCAAAGCGGGGCGTCATCACGACTTTACACAAGTGTGTCTTATCTCTTATCTCCGCAGCAGAGGCTCCGCCGAACCCAGGTTAAGAACCACTGCCATAGACCAATGAGCCTCCCTCTCATTGGTCTAGGGTGTGAGTTCTGTGTCCTACATTAGCATGCTCTCTGGATGTCCATTTCAGGCAGGCTTCCCTCCTGGAGTGGTGAACATCATTCCAGGGTTTGGATCCACAGCCGGAGCAGCGATTGCCAGCCATGAAGGCATTGATAAAGTGGCCTTCACCGGTTCCACAGAGGTCTGTGACTGCATGACAAAACGTTTCTGCTGCACACAGTAATTACGCTTTTGTGAATTTGATGAACTGATCAAAAGTTAAAAAAAATTGATGTCCCTTTGTACTAATCTCCCTTGTATTTGAACTTTATAGACCCACAGCTCACAGCTACAGGTTTTTAGGGGCAAGTCTCCTCCAGCTTTACTCATTTAAAGACTTGAAATTTTGCCAATTACTCTGCACAAAAGTTCACATTAGCTGAATTTGCCTGGGCAGTCTCTATTAAAATGCATTTTCAACTTGTTACAGATTTTCAGTTATATTAGTTCACGGATTAGACCCTAAACATGTTTAGGGTCGTTGTCCTTCTGGAAGTTGAACCGCCACCTCAGTCTTTTATTGCCTCTAACAGATTTCTTCCACGATTGTCCCTCAATTAAGTATCATCCATTTTTCCAAGCACTTTTACTTGCTTCCTTGTTCTGCTAAAGGAAAGCATCCCTACAACATGATGCTGCCACTGCCATCATGGTGGCGGTGGCCACCATGATGGTATAGGTTTTGGTCTATGAAAGAGCATCTTCTTTCATATGATCACTGTGTCCAGGCTTGTAGTAAAATGAAGACAGACAACTTTTCTTTTATGGTTTTCTTTGCCACTTATGAACCACCAGATTTTGAATACAACTGACTACACTGGATACTGTTTAGCTGTTTCCAAATCTAGGAGGGGGCGAAACATACAGTATGCACACCACACTTTATGAAGTGTTTTATTAGTAAAACACTTTTAAAAACATCTATAATATTCCTCCAATCCATACAGTTATGCACCACTTTGACTTTACAGCTGAATACCAAAGAACTACTTAAAACTACAAGAGGTATGAATACTTTTGCATTGTAGTGATCTGCATCAGTTGATGTGAAACTTTCTACAGCAATTTAATGATTGCTTTTTTTTTATCTTCATTATATAAAAATTGTTTCTTGCTCATGGATTCACATATTTCTACCAACAGATGTGTTTACAGTCTTACGGCAGTTTTACCATTTTCTTCCAGGTGGGCCAACTGATCAAAGAGGCTGCAGCCAAAAGTAATCTGAAGAGAGTCACTTTGGAGCTGGGAGGGAAGAACCCTTGTATTGTGTTTGCTGACTGTGACTGTAAGTAAAATTATCCTTGCTTTTTTATGCTGCTTGACATGCCCTAAGGTGTGCATGCGTGTGTGTGTGTGCGTGTGTGTGCATGTGCGTGTGTGTGTGCGTGTGCATGTGTGTGCGTGTGTGTGTGTGCATGTGTGTGCATGTGCGTGTGTGTGCATGTGCATGTGTGTGTGCATGTGCGTGTGTGTGCGTGTGTGTGTGTGTGTATGCGTGTGTGTGTATATGCGTGTGTGTACTTAAACCATTAGGGATCATTTCTGGCATAATTACTAACCTTCTGAAGATCGTTGGCCCTTCCTTGTTGGAAGTTGTGGCCACCAAGTTATTAGTTTCAATGGGTAATTACTTTTTTCACAAATAGCCAAGATGATTTTTATCTTTTTTTCTTTTGAAATGAAATAATCATTTTAAAATTACTCTTGTATTTTCTGAGGACATCTTTGTCTGATTTAAACCTTTGTCTTTGACTTCAAATTAGCAGAGGGGTCTTAGACTTTATGAAATAACTGCCAGGTAGCTCTGAGATGAACATATTGTGATTTGTGGAAGAGTTTTTGTTTTTGTAGAACCATGCAGATAACTGAACAACTGAACTCTGACCTAGAGATGGTGCCATTTCTTCTTAAATTTGCATTTATTTCTGTCTGTGTGTGTGTGTGTGTGTGTGTGTGTGTGTGTGTGTGTGTGTGTGTGTGTGTACATGCGTGTGCGTGCAGTGCAGATGGCTGTGGAGGAAATTCAAAAAGGAGCTTTTTACAACCAAGGCCAGTGCTGCACAGCTGCATCACGTGTCTTTGTGCAGGACAGGATTTATGAGGAGTTTGTGCGCCGAAGCATAGAAAATGCCAAGAAGATTGTCATAGGAGACCCACTGGACCCCCAGACAACACATGGGCCACAGGTGTCAGAGCTTCCGAATTTAAAAATATAATTTAAAAAATCATGAAAGCACATTTATGAATTGGCACTGTAAAATACATGACTGACTTTCACCATGTAATAACTAAGATTGAATGAGAATCCATCCATCCATCCATCCATCCATCCATCCATCCATCCATCCATCCATCCATCCATCCATCCATCCATCCATCCATCCATCCATCCATCCATCCTTTCGTTCATTCATTCATTCATTCATTCAATCATTCATTTCTACCTTTCTGTTCATCTTTTAAACTCTCCACCTGGTCAGTCCTACATATTTATTTTTATATTGTTAAATATATGTATATAATTGAATCAGGAATTTTGTAGAATCACTTGCAAATCCAAAGTAAACATTTTTATTCATTCATTGTTTGTTTACCTTCTCTATTACTACTAGATTGACCAACAACAGTTTGAAAAAATAATTGGCCTGATAGAAAGTGGGAAAAAAGAAGGTGCCAAGCTGGAATACGGTGGAGGAGCTGTGGGAGAAAAAAGTCTCTTTATTCATCCCACCATCTTCTCCGAGGTCAAAGACAGCATGAGGATCGCCAAGGAAGAGGTTGCAGCACTATGCACTGTGTTATGGATGAAAGTGTGAAAAAGAAAAGCCACATGAGACACTTTGTAATAAAACACCCAGAAGAGAAAAACAGGCTGACTATCTGATATTTTGCGGTGAAACAAGCCAAACTACCTAAGACACAAACATTTGAGTGACAGAGTATCAACCATCCCAGGGCTAGTGGTACCCGAAAAATTAATTGTCAAAATGTCGACTTTATAAAGAATTTAGCATTGTACAATGCCATTTTTTTTTCTCTTCATTTATAAAGCTTCTTTTATATATTTGTGATTTCAGATCTTTGGGCCTGTGCTCTGTATATTCAGCTTTAAGAGCAAACAGGAAGTCATAGAGAGGGCCAACAACTCTCAGTATGGCTTGGTGTCTGCTGTGTTCACAACAAGTATGGACAGAGCTCTGTCTGTGTCTGGAGCCCTGGAGACTGGAACTGTCTGGTAACCTTCCTTTCTTCTATTCAGTGGACAATTACAAACTTCTGAATTCCTGTGCATTAACTGAAGCACATTTTGAGCAAAAAACTCAAAAGACTTCATTGAAGGCAGTTAGACATTCACTCGGTTTTCCCTGAAGATGTTTTAACACCTATCCAGGAGTCTTTTTCAGTTCTGGAGGAAACTTCACCAAGTTATGAAAAACCAGACGATCAATATCTGCTTCAATGAGTGCTGCAAACTGAAACACATGTTCTATCACATCACCCATATGAAAAATAATTATGTCAGGAGTTACAATGTTTTTTTGTTTGTTTGTTTTTAAATAAAGTTGCTAACCTTCAGCTCACTGATGAACTGATTATAGGTCGCTATTTGTTATGGCCGGTGGCTTGTAGATTTGTAATATGAACCAAATATTATACAGAAGTTAAAGAGTGAAGACGCCGCCTCTCCTAATTTGCATAATAAGAGAAATGATTTTGGTGAAGTAAAAATAGGGGACAGAAAATTTTAAAAAATACCACATGGTAGTAAAATTACTTCTGAAAAAAAAGTAAAGGGGAAATTAAAGAGACTATTGAATCTTTGCAACTCTGTCACCTATCACGTGAGGCGCCATGTCAGATGTCAGAAGTGAGCAAAGGGAGTACTGAAAGGAGTCTCTGAGATTGATTTCCCATGTTGACTTTGCCAGTATAGCCATGGCTTCTACTAGTTCAGATTGAATGAATTTGTCTGTGATAGTAGCACACCTAGTTGGGTCTCATAAACGGTGGTATTTACAAAAGTTGGAAACATCTAACTTAGAAACCACCAATACCTTCTTCTTTGTTGATTTCATCAAATTGCTGACTTTGCCTAAATTCACATGATTTATGCCACTATGTAGTTATATGTTTCCTGTTACACTGCATACAAAAGTCTAGATGCGTACGTTTTTCGTACGTTGTAGGCTACATGATGATGGGGCATTTTGTCCATGGTTGCTAATGGTTTGTTGCATACCTTCTCCATAATGCAACATTTGGTTGCATCTTACTAATTGTACTTTTCGTGTGGATGATGTGAAAGAACTTGTTTCAGTAAACATTAGTCTTACCTTGTAAAGTATTTTCTGCAAATCCACGAATACACAGAGGACTGCCTTTCAGCTATTCCTTAGTATTGACAGCTGCTATCCATCTCCATATTCTTTCCTTGTTAAAAGGTTTAGGATAAAATAAGTTTAGTTTGCATCCTTGTCTGTTTGTTCAGCTGACCACACAACACCATGTGACCATTTCTATGGTCAAATCCATTACTAAAAGCATTGTTAGGTTAGTAACTGTATAATTTTTGATAAGCTTTACAGGAAGTGATGCCTGTTTTGAGTCAAACATCTGAAGATTTTGACATCACGTGCAAAGGGTCAATAAGAAAAAGAAAAAATGTGAATTTTGTTTTTAAACAGTAAATTCATAGTACAGTATGTGCTTAAATATATAGTTGGAACTTAAATGAAAAATTTGAAGTTCAATGAACTTAAAATAGTGAGGTATCCTTTTTGAAATTAATTGGTGTGTTTTATTTATTGAGCCATATATTTATTTCTGCTTTTATTTTCCATTCTATCAATTTCAGTTCTCTGGTCTGTTGCAGATATTGTGTAACACAAAGAAATATTGAAATAATAATAATAATAATAATTTAGAAAAAATCATTGAGGCTTATCCTTCTCTGTCTTTCTCAAGGATAAACTGCTATAACGCCATGCATGTCCAGACTCCATTTGGAGGATACAAGATGTCAGGAAATGGAAGAGAGCTGTAAGAAGCGTCAGGATTTAATTATTTTACTTCCTTTGTCCTACGCCGCCTGAACTTCTTTCTCTGGTCTGTCTGATCTCTCCAGAGGGGAATATGCCCTTGCAGAGTACTCTGAGGTAAAAACTGTAACCTTCAAGATGAATGATTCCATGTGAGCGGAGCTGGGAAGGTCCATGCCACCCTGAACTGTCCTGATCCTTATGTCATCCAGTTTTAAAACTATAGAGCATCAGAATTTTTGATTTAGATTGTTGTAATTTCCAGGTTGTGAACGCTAAAAGAAAATATTTGGGTTAGAAATTATATGCCTTCAGAAAGCATTAATCTCTTTTAGCATTTTTCACATCTTTATTTGTATAATTTTATTAACATATTAACATGTTTGTAGACAATGACAAAAACGATTTATTCACAGTAAGAATTTTAAAGCTGAAGATTAAATAAAGTGTGCACAGGTGATATTATGTTTATCTCCTGAATTTCCTGAAGGTTTTTCAGATTTTTTTTACTGTTGTGGATCAATGTTCTACATGACTGCAGCATGCTGCCACCACCATGCTTTGCTGGGGAGATGCTAATGTGAGAGTGAAGTTACTCTGAAAATGAGTAAACGTAACAGCACTGCGCCCATATGAAGCATCTGCACAGGGACACACAGTGGCCCGGCAGGTGGTAGGTGTTTCCTCCTGCAAGAAAACAGTTGGCATTCACTAAGATAATTTAACAAAAAATTATGTGTTGAGTGTAATAGTGTGTAATTTAGATTTCTGAGACCAGTTACTCAGTGGCCTCCCTCTTTCTTGTGTGCTGTGTATAAATGCCAGGAAGAAATGGTTAATTATCCAGCAGTCACAGCTGATTTCAGTTGTTAATGAAATAAGCTGTGTTTCAATGTTAACTGACCAGGATAAAATAATTCATTATTTGTTATAACTCACTAAAATTTATTGTGAAAATCACTGTAAACAATGAAATAGGGTTTATTTATTTATTTAACACGACATTTATTGATTAAAAGTGCTGGTTTATTATTATGTCTCTTTTTGAAGAAGTCTCCTGGTCTGCTGTTTGTAGCTGTGGGCGTGGTGTTATTTTAGGAATGAATAGCGGAACTACATGCTGTTTTGAAGCCCAACTGCTCCTCCGTACGCATGTGTAACAGCGGCGTGTGTCCGGGTTGGAGAGTTCGGATCTGAGATTTAGGAAGTGGACTGGAAGTTTAGAACCGGGGCAGGAAAGGTCCAGGTTACTGTCTGACGCGGCGCAACACTGCGGGAATAATGCTGTCCTGTCGGGAGGAAAGCTGGACATGTCAGCCTGGAGGTAAGCCGGGTGTTTTTGACTGAGGAAATTCGCTGTGGTCTGGGACGACAGCCCAGAAGAGGTGGCTGCTGGTTCACCGCCGAGAGTTCCAGATTCTGAAGCTGGATTTAGTTGACGCGTCATGGAAACACTTAAAGATTTATACAAAATAGAAACAAATAACAAATCCAAACCTCCGGAATTACTGACCCAGAAACTTAGTAATTCAGATTTCCTTTCAGCATTCGAGACAACTAACTTGATAAGATGGCGTAGTAACCGTTTGTAGAGCTGGTAAAGTGTCGCAGTTAATTTGCGCATCAACGCGGACGCTAAATCGCGTCAGACAGACACCCCCTCCTGTAAATACGTAAAGTGAAATGTGATGCAAAGTATTTACGTGACTCTGCTATTAAATAGTTATAGTCTGGTCTCAATACAGAGCGAAATGGTACAATTAACCCCATAGTCCGGGTCAGGTGGAGCATACATGAGTGAGCTGTAACATAGTAGTCTACTGACAATATCTTCCCATTGAAACATTTTTAAAGCTGCAGTACAAACTTTTATTTAAAAAAAATATGTTCTTTACACATTTGTTAAACCTGTCACTATGTCGTGACAGAATTGTACAAACCGGATTCCAAAAAAGTTGGACACTAAACAAATTGTAAATAAAAACTGAATGCAATGATGTGGAGATGGCAAATGTCAATATTTTATTCGTAATAGAACATAGATGGCAGATCAAAAGGTTAATCTGAGTAAATGTAAAATTTTAAATGAAAAATATGTTGATTCAAAAGTTCACAGTGTCTACAAATCCCAAAAAAGTTGGGACAAGTAGCAATAAGTGGCTGGAAAAAGGAAATTGAACATATAACAAACAGCTGGAAGACCAATTAACACTAATTAGGTCAATTGACAACATGATTGGGCATAAAAAGAGCTTCTTAGAGTGTCAGTGTCTCTCTGAAGCCAACATGGGAAGAGGATCATCAATTCCACCATTGTTGCGCAGAAAGATAGTGCAGCAATACCAAAATGGTGTTACCCAGAGTAAAATAGCAAAGACTTTTAAGTTATCATCATAACATAATCAAAAGATTCAGAGAATCTGGAACAAATCGCTGTGCGTAAGGGTCAAGGCCGTAAAACTCTACTGGATGCTCGTGATCTCCGGGCCCTTAAACGTCACTGCACCTCAAACAGGAATGCCACTGTCAAGGAAATAACAGCATGGGCTCAGGAATACTTGCAGAAAGCATTGTCAGTGAACACAATCCACCGTGCCATCCGCCGCTGCCAGCTGAAACTCTACAGTGCAAAGAGGAAGCCATTTCTAAGCAAGCTCCACAAGCTCAGCCGTTTGCACTGGGCCAGGAGTCATTTAAAATGGAGTGAGGCAAAATGGAGGACTGTTCTGTGGTCAGATGAGTCACGATTTGAAGTTCTTTATGGAACACTGGGACGCCAGAGAGGACAAGGATAACCCAAGTTGTTATCAACGCTCCGTTCAGAAGCCTGCATCACTGATGGTATGGGGTTGCATGAGTGCTTGTGGCATGGGCAGCTTGCATGTCTGGAAAGGCAGCATTATTGCAGAGAACTATGTTCAGATTCTAGAACAACATATGCTCCCATCTAGACGTCATCTCTTTCAGGGAAGACCCTGCATTTTTCAAGAAGATAATCCCAGACCACATTCTGCCATGATGTTGTCTGGGACCACAATCCCAGACAACATCATGGCTACGTAGGAGAAGGATCCAGGTACTGAAATGGCCAGCCTGCAGTCCAGATCTTTCACCTAGAGAGAACATTTGGCGCATTATAAAGAGGAAGGTGTGACAAAGAAGGCCCAAGACAATTGAACAGTTAGAGGCCTGTATTAGACATGAATGGGAGAGCATTCCTATTTCTAAACTTGAGAAACTGGTCTCCTCTGTCCCCAGATGTCTGTTGAGTGTGGTAAGAAGGGGAGATGCCACTCAGTGGTAAAAATGGCCTTGTCCCAACTTTTTTTGGAATTTGTTGATGTTATGAAATTTTGAAACAACACATTTTTCCCTTAAAATGATACATTTTCTCAGTTTAAACTTTTGATCTGTGATTTGTGTTCTATTGTGAATAAAATATTAGATGTTGGCACCTCCACATCATTGCATTCAGTTTTTTATTCACAATTTGTTTAGTGTCCCAACTTTTTTGGAATCCGGTTTGTATACGAGACATTCTGTGAAAAAATTGACCTTTTTCTTCTCTCAGCGTTCCTACTGCTACCTGCAGAAATAGCTCCTGGTCAGAAACAACCAATCAGAGCCAACAGGAGGCTCTTAGTGTTGTTAATAATGCTGCTCACTTTTGCTTTCTGAAGGCGTAGACTCTGTTGAAGTTTTGAACTATTGGATCTGATTTTACCCAATCGCTAACATTTAGCCATGACCTAAATAATGCACCAGCTCAATGAAGCTTACTGGAAATTGTGTGTACAGTAAACAGCCCAGTGGGAAGTACGGCCACAACAGTTTGCCTGTTGCTTCTTATGCTCTTAAACAGCCCAGAAAATCGATGTCGTCATTCATAACTTCTTCTGTTTGCTCATTGGTCCAGTTGGAATTCAGCTGGAGAAATCCCAGACAGAGCACACAAGGGAGATAAGAATTGAGTGGAATTACAGAGGAAATGCTTTGATAGCCACCGATTTTAAGAGTTCAAAACACTCAATATGCATAAAAACGCTTAATCACTACTACAGAAGCTGACAGACTGTGAATCTACAGTCTTCCTTATTTCTGCTCTTGGCAGTACAACTAATCAACCAATAGGGCTTCGTTGCAAAAAACAGCCAGTAGCATGTCAGGTTGAACTGCAAATGCAGCTTCCCAAGCTGCATTTGTTTTGAATATTTTTATATCTGCTACAAAAAAATATCTGCGACTAGGTACAGTTTTGGCAAATAATTTGAAGTGACATTTCACATAAAAATATTTTTATTGTTAAATCTGCAGATCCTGATCTATGAATAGATGGGGGTCCTCTGTACACTTTTTGATGAGGATCTTTGTAGAACCTGTAGCAGAAATATTTTGAAGCTGTCAATTGGCTTTAAAAGTCTGTCACATCCTGGTAAGAATTAGTTTATAGCTGTTCTCCAAGCTGACCACCATTCACACATTTGCTTCAGTTCATTGAAGTCTGCTGGTATCCGTTTCTATACAGCTGTCTTAAGATCAAACCAATTATTTCAGTCAGATTGCAATTTTGGCTTTAACTAGGCCACATTCTTCTGTTTTTCAGTCAGTTTGATGTAGATCAACCACTGTGTTTGCTGTGTCACTATTCTGCTCCCAAGCTTTATCTATCAGAATGGTTACCACCCTGCAGCTGGGTTACTACACAATTACCAAACACTCTCAGCCCATTATTATACAGTTTGAACGTTATTCATAATTACTGAACTTAAATTGCTTGCTATGTTTTTCTGATTATAAATAAATGTTTTACAGATCAGAACTTCAGTTGAAGTCTGGTCTAAAGACTCATACTATGAGCAACTGGTAGAGTCTTACCCCAGAGACTATCAGGTGTAACTGCAATGAAATGTTGTTCTGCAATGTTCTGATTCAGAAAGGCTCGATCCAAATACACGCTACAGCTTTTAGATACTAATTAAAACAAAATTTAAAACCATATATCCTCTGTCAGCCACATAGCGGTTATGCACTACTTTGTTTTGGGCTATGAGATGAAATACTAAGAATATACACACATGGTTGTGGTTGCAACATAACAAAATGTGAAAAGTAATTTTTTTTTTTTTCAAAGCAACTGTTTGCACCCTAAAGCAGAAGCTGGTTGCGCTAAAGTTTGTTCCTGTTGACTGTTGCATGTCAGGAACAATCAAGTACTTAAAATAAATAAAAAAATATAAAGATTGTTTATTTTAAGACAAAAGACAGTTGAGCTCATCTCCACATTCATGTAACACTTCACTTTCAACAATGAAAACGTGTTTCATAAATTTTGATATGAAATTGTCCTCAATGTCAGGTTGTCTTTGTAAAGTACTTTTGTCCAGGTACTCCTCCCTCATGCAATTAAATTAAATTCAAAAATCTATATTAATCACAAAGGGAAATTAGATGTTGTTGTAACTTAGTTTCTTCAAAGAGTCACTTTAGAG